TAGAATAAGGATCAGTGTTAAAGGTAGAGGAGTATCAAAAACCGTCTCTACCTCAAAATTTCGTAACGATTTTTTTTGTTAGAGCACAAAAGGTAGTTTCATAAGCAAAATTTTGAGTTACAAGTGTTTTTTAAAAATGTCACTATTCTCCATTACACGGTCTGGTGGTTGATAAACCTATAGAAAATATTGGTAAAAGTTGCATATCACATCAAAGATCTTTGAAAGAATACCTGTAGAAAAGGTTTATTGTTTTACCTGTGTACTATCGTTATTACTGATTTTACTTATCGGAGGGGAGGGGGGGGGGTAACTATTGGGGCAGCGTCGAACTCTAACCGAGTCGGGAGTTGAGAGATATCAGAGCTGTAAAAGCTGAGAACTGTCCTTTATTCAGAGCGAAATGGTTTCGTTTATATACTTATGTTTACATAGTAATGAGATAACAAAGATAACAGATATAACAGATATAACAGAAATATCGAATATACTAAAGATATCGGGAATACTAAGAATCCTAACTATAATTTATAACCTTTATAACCTTCGAACGACTTATTTCAGAAATATATAAATTGTCACGGATAATGCTGAAATTTGGAATCTCAATTTAAAAATATTAGTCTTTTATTAACAAATATGCCAAATTCTAACTTAACCCTAAAAAAAAAGCTGACAAAAAAGGCCCTAATAAATTTTAAAATCGTACATGAAATAGATTCAAATTTCAGATCATCCGATTTCAGCATCATCCGTGACAATAAATACAGTAAAAACTCCATAAGTGCATCCACTACAAATTCATACCCTCTCTAAGTGCACACTCAAATTCGGATCAAAATATATATATTATCTCCATAAATGTACCTTTCTCTTATCGTTCTCGAAGTACACATTGACAAAGTTTGGTCCCAAGGGAGTGCACTTATAGAATTATTTGTGTTCACCCACATCCATTAAACTAACACAAGTCAAGTACCCTAAGTGTGTAATAAAATTTGGTCCCAAGGGCGTACATTTATAGAAGTTTGCTGTATATATTTGGGTCCGGATTTGTGTGTGCATTTAGAGAGGGTGTGCACTTATAGAAGGTGCACTTATATGTAGAGGTTTTACTATAACTGGAACATATTGGAGTGTTCATTTAGAGAAAATTTACAATAGTGGATGCATTTATAGATGCAATTATGGAGGTCCGATTGTACAAATCAATATGCTTCAATGAATAGTATTTCTTGAAAGCAAATGCTCGTGGCTTACTTATCTTGAGTATGTACATACCCATTAAACTAATGAATAAGTTTAAAATAAGAGATATCTACCAACTTAAATATCTTAAATACATAGCTAATTAACTCATTCCTAACATAAATTTTTACTCACGGCAATTTACTGCATCTCTAGTTGGACTTATAAATACAAGCGCTAAATCTGGGACACAATTATAAATATTCAGATACACTAGACGGCAGTTTATTCATTATATAAAATTGCCACTATAATACAAGTAAATTATATGGATTATGAATAAGGAAATAAATAATATAACAATAGAATCAGATTTTAAATAAAGCCAATCAAAAAAAATAAATCAAACACAGTAAATAAACAATATAGTAAAAATAAATCGAATTATCCTTTCTTTAAATACAATATAAAAATTTATGTTTTGAATACTTTATAAACCATCTGCCTTGACCAAATACCCTTCTAAAAAGTCCTTTAGTTTATCAACATCATCTTCAAACACTGCGCTAGCAACATACAAATCAGGTCGAACAAGTACGAAACCCTGCTTCCCAATTTCTTTCGTGATGCCATATTTTTCATGCAATTCGAATTTTGATTCCATAAATATATGATGCTCTCGGTCCTCTTTTAAGAATGGCATGAATGGTATATCAGCAGTCTGGACGGCGCCTTCATATGAAATGATAACGGGTGTGATAGTATTTTTATAATCAGTGTATATCTCCAACAGAGTTTTAATAAGCGGATTGCAATCAGAAGTAACACCCTCGGCTAGAGTAAAGAGGATTAAGGTATGCTTCAATGCGGTTGAACGAAAGACATCAAACATAGTTATGCGATCATGAATTTTATCAGGGGTAATTTTCTTTAATAATCCATCTAGTACGTAATGACCTGCTTTGATCAATTTGTTTTCAGCGCTTGAGCGAGATGCATACTTGTGAAGAATTTCGGAAGATTCGGGCAAGTAATTAAGATCGGTTTGGAATAAATTGGTTTGGAATTTAAATGCAGTTTGGGGGAAGAATTGGAACATTAAAGGAACAACGCGCGTTCGGAGGAATGTGCTAATAAAATCATTAGCTGCCAACATTTTTGTAGCAAAACCGGTACCTTCAACAACACTTTTACCAACGGGGTACCGTTCTTTTTCATAACTATCAAGAAGTATATTAGAGTCAGCTGTCTGACCTCTAATAACTAGAGCCAATTTGAATGCCAAGTTATGAGCGTCTTGAATTCCTAAATTCATGCCTTGACCACCAAATGGCGAATGACAGTGAGCAGCATCTTTTTTTTTAAATAGATATTACATTAATAATAATTATTAATAATGATTGTGATACGAACAAATTAAATAAGTAAATTTTTATTTACCTCCAGCGACGAACACATTTCCTGTTCTATATCTATTTACAATTCTTTCGTTAATCTTG